TGGCGCCCGGGGCCTTATCGGACAGCGGCCGGCGCCACACCTCACCCCGGGCCGCCTTCCCTCCATCCGCTCCAGGGATCTCACCCTCGGGGGAGTCAAGAAGGTACCCGATTACCTCGAATCCCAGGCTCCTGGGGTACAGCGGATGCGCATGTCGGGCCTGCCGTGCGCCAGGCGTGGTGTGGGGCCCTGTGACGCTCGTACCCAGACTTCTGCCCGCAGATTTGGGGGAGCCTGTCCTGCCTTGACGTCTAGGTGCTGGATACCAGCCTTTGACCTGGCTCTCAGAGATGGCTGGAGGGGAGAGCATTCTAACTTGTGTAAAAGCAACTTAAGCGTGTTTGTTTACTTTTGTGTGTGGACACCTCTAAGAAGCCCAGGAGAGTTGCCAGGCACACATTTTGCCTGCGCTTGGACGGCGTCTGAATGTGCCCTGGATCGGGGTGCGCACTTCTGGGCTGGAGGGTGGTGGGTCCAGGCCTGGCCCTGGAGGCACTGTGTCCTCTCCCTGGTGTTTATGGCCGCAGATGTAAAGAGTAGCCCTTCGGTAGGGAGTGGGGCCATGGCAAGCAGAAAGCAGCCATGCTTTTTTTAAAGATTTGAGTTTGCCCGGGTGCATTCTGGTGGCAGTCCAACCTGTCTTCTGCTTGTGAGTCCTGGCACATCTGTCTGTCCTCCTTGAGCTCTTTGCTCTCTGTAGCAGTTTGAAGACAAGAGGTGAGGTTAGACAGTTCCTTTGAGTTTAAAGTCCCGAGGGTCTCCTTTCAGGGGGGAGAACTGAAGCTGCTAGTTTAAGTGGGTCTTGGTGCCCCTTTGTGTGTAGCTGCTGCCACCATGACTTGGCAGTTCTGTTCAAGCATCCTTCTCGGGCACGTGTCTGTCTCTCTAAGTCTCCGACAACAGTGTGGAATGTACAGAAGAGAGCCATAGTGGTTTTGGTCCACAGAAGATCCCCTTTGGGAGTTTTTCTTTTTCTGCAGTGCTTTGGGATCAGAAATGACCAAATCAGTGACTCCCGTATTTCACTTTCAGAAAACCTTCACCCCAAATATCATCAGTCGGAAGATCAAGGAAGAGTAAGTAGCTAGGCCTTCTGAATACTCACCCCTTATTTACGTGCTCTGAATTTGAGCCTTGTGGGAAATACTAGTAACGAGGTATGTGGCACAGAAATTTAAATTTGTGTATTTAGTTGTTTCCAACCTGGCTCCCAGCTGATTCTAATGTGCAAGCTTTAAAGAAATTCTGATGCCTGGGAGGCCTTCCCAGAAATTGTGATGTAATTTGTTTGCAATGAAACAGAGTGATTCTCTTTTACAGCCAGAGTTGAGAGCCACTCGTTTAGACAAAGATGTATTAAGTTTTCCCTTAAGTTCTTTTACATTACAGCCTTCCTGTTTTCAATGAATACAAAAAATTTTTACATTTTGGAGCAGTCTCTGTAAGTCAACTTTTGAGTTATAGTTTCAATACATACCCTCAAACAAGAAGATAAAGTAAAATAAACTGAAAGGACTCTGCACATCAAGGAAGTGAAAAGAGTGTTAGACTTAGGATTGGGTTCTGTGTCTCATGATGTAGTTATTGGCTCAGGTGGAGTGGAGATATGTGGGCGAATTAAGACCAGTTCTCCCAGGAAGGGTAAGTGAGTAGTTTCCCTTAATCCATTCTCTTTTCCAGACCCAAGGAAGAAGTAACCATTAAGAAGGAGAAGCGTGAAAGGGATAGAGACCGACAGCGAGAGGGTCATGGACGGGGCCGGGGTCGACCAGAAGTGATCCAGTCCCATTCCATCTTTGAGCAGGGCCCAGCTGAAATGATGAAGAAAAAGGGTACGAAAGCTTCCGGGAGGAAGGGATCAATGGATTTCAGTTCAGACTGCCTGCGAGAAGGGCAGTGGGATTCCCCTGTTCACACTTTAGTTTTCCTTGCTGTTGGCCTCTTCCTTACCCCTGGTGAACTGGGTGATTTCCCACAGGGAACTGGGATAAGACAGTGGATGTGTCGGACATGGGGCCCTCTCATATCATCAACATCAAGAAAGAGAAGAGAGAGACAGACGAAGAAACAAAACAGATCCTGCGCATGCTGGAGAAGGATGATGTAGGTACCAGCAGCCTTGGCGGGGGGTGGGGGTGGGGGT